CATGTACCCCAATGTTCATAGCAGCACTATCAACAACAGTCAAAACATGGAAAGAGCCTAAGTGTCCATTAACTGATGAATGGATCAAGAAGATGTGGTTTATCTGTACAATGGAATACTACATGGCAATGAGAAAGAAGGAAATCTGGCCATGTGTAGCAATGTGGATGGAACTTGAAGGTGTTATGCTGAGCAAAATAAGCCAGGCAGAGAAGGACAGATACCATATGTTTGCACATATAGGTGGATTAGGAGGAACTTAACGGAGGACCATGGGGTAGAAGAAGGGGAAAAATAGTTAGGGAGAGGGAGGCAAACCATGAGAGACTCTTAAATACTGAGAACAAACTGAGGGTTGATGGGGGGTGGGGAAAAAGGAAAGGGGGGTGATGGGCATGGAGGAGGGCACTTGTTGGGATCGGCACTGGGTGTTATATGGAAACCAACTTGACAATAAACTATAATAAAAAAAATAAAGGGTGCAAACTTATTCTACCCTATCAGGACAAGCCAAAATAATTTCTTTCAGTGAATTCAGTGGACACATGCTGGGAGAAGAGGGGCCAGAAGAATCTTCATAAGTAAAATATGGGAAGTAAAAGACAATGTAGAAAACATGAGTGAAGGGGTGCCTGGGTGGCTCAGTCAGTTGAGCATCGACTTCGGCTCAGGTCATGACCTCACAGTTTGTAGGTTTGAGCCCCGCATCAGGCTGTGTGCTGACAGCTCGGAACCTGGAGCCTGTCTTCAGATTCTGTGTGTGTGTCTCTCTCTGACCCTCCCCTGCCCACACTGTCTCTCTCTCAAAAATAAATTTTAAAACATTTAAAAAATTAAAAAAAAAGAAAACATGAGTGAAGTAATATGTAATAGGAAATCTTTTTTAAAAAAATCTTTGCTCACGTGGTTTTTGCTTTGAAATGCTATTTCTTGCTTTTTAATAATTTTGGGTTGAGACATTGGAGCAAATAAACCAGTAGTCTTTAAACTGTGGGTCAACAAGTGCAGAGTAACTTCAATGACAATATTTTTATAGCTTTTTAAATAATAGATTAATTAATTTATTTAATTTACATCCAAGTTTGTTAGCCTTTAGTGCTATGATGATTTCAGTAGATTCCAGTGATTCATCCCCTATGTATAACAGCCAGTGCTCCTCCCAGCAGGTTCCTCCTCCCTCAAGCCCCTTGCGCATTTAGCCAATTCCCTCCCACAAGCCCTCCAGGAACCCTCAGTTTGTTCTCCATATTTAAGACTCTCTTATGTTTTGTCCCCCACCCTTTGCTTTTATATTATTCTTGCCTCCCTTCCTTTATGTTTATCTGTTTTGTATCTTAAATTCCTCATAAGAATGAAGTCATATGATACTTGTCTTTCTCTGATTGGCTAAAATTTTGCTTAGCATAATACCCTCCAGTTCTCTCCACATGGTTGCAAATCGCAAGATTTTATTCTTTTTGATTGAATAGTGTGTGTGTGTGTGTGTGTGTGTGTGTGTGTGTGTTCCTACCCAGATGGGAGAGTTTGAATTTTTGTTCTTCCAGAAACTTGATGTTAAAGTAAGAGAAACATGCAAAGCACACTGGCTCATTTCTGACACCCTCATCAGCTGAAAGAAAGTCACGGAGTTCTCCTTTATTTTTACTAATTATGTTTTGATTCAGAGGCCTGCAGTTGTATATGATCTATCTTTCATGCCCATTTTAATAATAAAAAGGGCAATATTTTCTGTTTTATTTTTGAATTTTTTCCTCCATAACAAGAAAACACACTAAAGTTACATAAAACTTAAGTATTTTTCAATACCCTGTCACTGTATCTATACAGAAAAGCCTTCATCCATGGGTATGACAGGTCACTTGGGTCTTGCCCCCTGTATGTGCAAGCAGTTGAGAAGCACCCAAACACTGTGATCCATAAGGCAAGTGCCGGGGCACCTGGGTGGCTCAGTTGGTTAAGCATCTGACTTCAGCTCAGGTCATGATCTCGCAGTTCGTGTGTTCGAGCCCCGCATCGGGCTCTGTGCTGACAGCTAGCTCAGAGCCTAGAGCCTGTTTCAGATTCTGTATTCCCCTCTTTCTCTGACCCTCCCCTGCTCATGCTGTCTCTCTCTCTGTCTCTCAGAAATAAATAAAACATTAAAAATTTTTTTAAAAAATAAGGCAAGTATCAACCAAACTAATTCGATCATGAGAAAGAATATATGGTAATCAGTCAGAGAAAAACCTTGGCACCTCGGGAGCAACGTTGGCACCTATAGTCAAGAAAGTACAGATTGTTTCAGTGTTTTGAGTTCATGACCTGCTCCTCTTCAGCAAGCAATATAAATGGTTACTGATAAACTAAAAATCAGCACTAGCACGCACAGTCTTATTTCCTTTACATGTTCCCAAAGGGAAAGGATGTACTATTTATTGAGTGCCTACAATATGCCAAGGGTATGCTATCTTTTAAATAGTAGGTGGTCAATAAAAATTTGCTATCTGGATACAATTAGAAGTAAAGTATATAATATCTCTCATCATTTTCTTTTAACTAGAATATCAGAAACAAAATCATAAAACCCCATAACAAGGTGTTAAAATTTTGATTTCTGTTCTTCCTCATTTTACTAATGTATTAACAGATTTTTTAATAGGATATGAAAAGATATTAATAACCATTATAGATAAAGCTATTATTCAGTCATGCTAAAATTGCTTGACTTTTCTGGTAATCTAATAATTTACAATAATAGCTGCACTTCATATGTAGTAATTAATGGTTTTTTCAATTTAATCAATATTAGCAGAGTCTTGAGGATTTTAACAATTTTAGAACCAGTGGGTACCTTTATGTTAGTGACTCCATTGTCTTCATTAATAATGAAAAAAGAAAACATGCAACAGAAAAGAAATACACCAGAATGTGTATATCAGTTACCTCTGAGTTTTGGCATTAAGGGTGATTTTTATTTTCTTTTTAATCTTTTCCTTATTTGCAAAATTCTCTACCATAAACAAATATTACTTGAATGGTCATAAAACTTATTTTTAAAAGATAATATAGAAGAGCACCATGGGGAAAAGGAAAACAAAACAGAAGGCGGCTGTGAATCTCCTCTTTTCCAGAATGAGGCTGTTTGCTTTACACCTCCCCGCTAAGCTTTCTAGGCATAGGTGGGTGAGGGAACAGGGAATAGACAGAATCAGACAAGTGATAACCCCCGACCCCATGTCATGAAAAAGGACAGAGTCTAAGCCACTTTAGCTCTGTTCATCTCTTCTTTATATATCACTTGAAGAAACAGCCTCTAGATCTTTAAGAGAATCACAGACGTGCCACGGAGAGAAAATTTGGAAAGAATGAACGTCTGCTTCTCTTGTCAGAGCTTTAAATCTGCTCTAAATCTAACTGCTGAAGGTGGATCCAAGAATTTTTTGTTCCAGTTTTAAGGTAACTAAAGACTAAATGTAAAAGTGGAATTAGTTCCTTTTTACAAATAGCAGTAGAAGAACAGAAATAGACTGTGAGGGTGTGACTATGATTCTTCTTACAGAATTTCAATAGCACAGGCATATTAAGTAAATGCATGGAGAGTTTTTAGCACACCCACTATTACTGAACATTACACATGCCCCCGGATCAGCTAAATCTCTTCAGGAATTGAGGATCATGGAGCTTCATATACTTTTCAAAGTTGTATCTTCCCCATATTTTCTCAGTGCTGAAGTTCAGAGAGTTTAAATGAGCTCTCATGCAAAACTAAGCAGATCAAAATAGCACTATTTCTATATGTACTTTTCCTACTTGCAGGAAAAGATCATGATAGTTATTTATAAATACCATTAGTGGCACCATGAAAAAGAAGAACATGATGTATGAGGTCACTGGGACACATCCTTTGTTCTAGAAACTCTGGCTTCTCAGGTATGATGCTATAGATGCTCTAATAAGCCTATTGCAACAGAGGACTTTTTTAGATATGTGAAGTCATGTGGGGGCTTGGGAATGAGGGGATAAGGAGAAAACGATGACCGTGTTTATGACAAAGAGCACATTATAACAAATATAACAGAAGAGAATGGGCCTGAGACCAACCACTTGGGTACTGGTCCCAACTCTGTCTCTGGCTACCTGGATAACTATAGGATGTCACCTGTCTTCGAGGCCTGGGTGTTCTTATCTGCAAAATGGTTCTAGATGGCCACTGAGACTCCATCTAATTCTAAAATTCTAATTTCTCTCTTTCTGATGGCTGATTAAAACATAGTCCAGATGTTTTATATTCTCTTTGAAGACTTAAAGTTCTGTGAGGGTTTTCGGGGAACCTGGGTGGCTCAGTTGGTTAAGTGTCTGACTCTTGATTTCAGCTCAGGTCATGATCTCACAGTTCTTGAGATTGAGCCCTGCGTCAGTGTCTGTGCTGATAGCACAGAACCTGCCTGGGATTCTCTCCCTCTCCTTCTCTCTCTCTGCCTCTCCCTCCCTCATGTGTGCTCTTGCTCTCTCTCTCAAAATAAATAATAAACTTAAAAAATAATATAGTTCTGTGAAGCTTCTCAACTTCTTCCCAATCAAAAGTGTATTTAAGCAGAGCACAGAAGACAGCAATTTCCCTCTGGAGGGATTCTAATATTGAAGAATGTCTAGAGTCTCATGTCTGCCAAAAAGATTTTATCTATTAGAAAACTGGCATAGTGTAGACAAACTGTAAAATGATTAACATACGTGGTTATGGAAAAAGAAGGAGGTTTATAGGAAAGAAAGGAAACTGGGAGGAAGGAAATTGGTATATTTACTTCTTCCTAATCTCAGTTCTAAACTAAAGGAAAATTCAAACATTTCAATACATCACTCTAGAATTCTGAATTCTGCAGTAACATGAATTATATATTTGAATGACAAAAAAGATATTCTGATGTGTCTCCTTTCAAACGTAATAACTTGTTATATTGGCGTAAGTGGAAGGGTACCAACAACTTGAGTATGCAATGAATTGAAACTGAAATCACACAAACCCTTGGGTCCTTCATCCTTGGGGGGGTGAAGGTTCCTAACTGGATCCCGGATACTGCAGTCTGTCCCTGCCCAGGTGAAATCACAGATGCAGGTGGCTTCATTACTACACACCTGTGAAGAACAAAGAACAGAAATGGGACAATTTCATTGTGCTCTTAAAAAATTGTTTTTAATGTTTATTTATTTTTGAGAGAGACAGAGAGGGAGCAGGGAAGGGGCAGAGAGAGAGGGAGACACAGAACCTGAAGCAAGCTCCAGGCTCTGAACTGTCAGCACAGAGCCTGATGTGGGGCTTGAGCCCACAAATCATGAGATCATGACCTGAGCTGAAGTCGGACACTTAACCAGCTGAGCCACCCAGGTGCCCCTCATTGTACTTTTCTGAATAATGGTGATAAATGTAAAAGAGACATGGGACAGGGAAGAAGCTTTTAAAAGCCATTTTGAATGTTTTAAGTCCTCCATGGTTGACCAGAGGAGATAACATATACATAAAATTGTCGAGGAGTGTTTTCTTGTTAATTATAGAGAAATATCCATTAAAAGAAGAAAAAATGTTTTTTAAGATTTTATTTTTAAGCAATCTCTACACCCAACGTGGGGCTCAAACTCACAACCCTGAGATCAAGACTCACATAACTCTACCAACTGAGCCAACCAGGTGTCTCAGAAAAGAAGAAAATTTTATATTAAATATTAATTGTTTATATTGATATTATTTAGGTACACAAATGTCTGACAATGTAGGTTTTTTTCAGAAGTAGTTGTTTCTAGGAATATACTTCAGAAACACATGCTTAATTCAAGGAATTAAGAGATAAAGGGCTCCAGCAGCAGGGCCAGAGATTAAAGACCAGACGATATAAATCACCAATGCATTCTTTTACCTCACCATGTCCAAATGGGCACCACACCCACCTCCCCTGACTGCCCTTGGTATCACCCCTCTCTCAGGCAGCCAGGCTGAAGACCCTCCTAGAATGATTTTTGTCTCCTTTTGTTTGTGCCGGAGACCAAGCAGTATGCTGGAATGGACTTGTAATTTACATGAAATAAACAATCATCTGCCAACTATAGATAGAGGTGTTTAAGCCCTTATCTGCCTGTGAAATACATTCAGAGGCGGATCATTAGAGATGATACACTGAATACCAGTTTACTGGTATAAGAAGCTTTTTAATCTGAAATGGTCTAATAGCATGGTTGGGATTTACAAGGCTGAATTCGACCTTTTATTTAACAAGATGAAAAAATGGGAGGAATAGTAGAGAGTTAAGGGCCTTTCTAGACATTAAGTTTTATGATGTTTTCAGAGGAATAACTGAAATGTTATTTTAACATAGTGATTATTGAACATTCACTATGTGCTAGGTACCTATGCCAAATGCTTTACGTATAGCATCTAATTTAATCCCCATACTAGCACCCTGGTGGCTGAGAGAGGGTAAGTGCCTTATGTAAAGTCACTAGGAGACCAAGAAGCAAGCCAGGACTCAACCCATGGTTCTTTCTAGCCTCCAAAACCATGGTCTAAATCACTAAGCTATACTGACTGGTGAGTCTAGGATTCAACCAAAGCCCCAACTCTAAGAAGTCATTAGGCATATCCTTCTAAGGCCTCTCTGCCTCGTTGTACTCCATGTCATCCGCTAGCTAGCTATATTTTGAATTATTTGAGTTATTTTTGCCTTCCTTGCAGCATTCTCCTTTTATGTTATTACTCTCAATTTCTTCGTGTCTCTTTTTTATTCCATTTCTAAAGTCTGTATACATTTTGAAATATCTTTCTTTTACTAAGCTAATTTAAATAATTATTAAAATTTGTTTCTAGATATTAACCCTCAGTTTGCCAGGAAGTGTCTGCTCACTTTGTTCACAGAATTACAAATACATGCAGGTGTGAGTAGAGAAAGTATCTTCGCTTCAGCTGGTAATGGTTGGAGCAGAACTATACAACTTTAAACATATGAATTAGATCAGTGATTCAACCTCTAGTCTATGTGATCTTGTACACACGGATACTCAGTATACATGCTGAGGAGCCAACGGCAATATGGAGAGGACTAAAGTTATTCTGAATGGCATGAAGTAGTTCACGTGGGGTCTACAGTTCTTTTAGGGACCCTATCAGTTTCTTCCACCTCTAGCTGACAAGGTATAGACAATGTGGGAAATATAAATAGCCAATGATAAAACAAACAACACAAATAAAACCATACGGTATATATGCAGATGAGGATACTCTGGAAATTATCATAGCCAGTGCATAGATACTGGCAGCAGGCACAAAAGGAGAATGGCTGAAATGGAAGTCTGACTACTGTGAACTTTGAGGCTGCCAGACAATAAAGGTTTGAACTGAAACACTGATGCCTACTTACCCCATGGCCTGAACAGACTTTACCCTTGGAATCAAGTGGGCAGCTACTCATATTTAGGGCCTGAATCAGTAGGCACTTCCGATCTAAACACATCATGGATGGACCACATGGCGTTCCATCTTCTACATAGCCAACATCTGTATCATCATCTAAAATCACATGAGCACCACTAAAAGGAGAAAGATATTCATACAACCATTAGCACCATAGTTAGAAACAGAATGCCAACACGAATGAAGCTTGCTCTTCATGAAATTAAAGAGGCCGTCAGTGGACATGGATGGCTCCTAGAATTTCTCTACCTCTCTCTTCCTTTCTCCTTTCCGACGTCCCTCAATAAAAGAGCATGATGACAGGAAATATTTTTCATTGCCATTATTGCATTGCATGCCATTAGGCAAAAAATGTCATTTGCACAAAGTATATTCTAAATCTTCACTTGTAGTCGAGACCAGCATAAAGACTAAGGGGGAGCTGTCTCAGAACAAAAGAAGCAAGCTTTTACACCAGCCCCTCCAAGGCTTTCAGGTGAGTCGTGGTACAGAAAGGCAGACGCTGAGCCAAAGAAGCAAATGAAAATACTCTGAGAATCATTATGATTACTTTAGAGAACTGGATTATTTATGGTGGAGAGACAAAACCAATTTGTCTCTACTGATATTTCTTTCTAAAACGTCAGAGTTGGGGAAAACCTGAATTTGAAGAATAATCGATGCTATAATGACCAATAGAGTAACTTGCTGAATATTTTACCAATATACTAGTTTAGAAGATATAATTTACTTAGGCTATCATATCTAAAGATGTGTGAAAACTTACACACTCAAAGAATGCATCTAAGTAACCAAATTATGATTTATTCCAGGAAGGATCTTATTGTCTGGGACCTGGTTAGAATTGTTTACAGAAAAATTAAAAAAAAAAAAAAAAAAAAACAGCCATCATTTGAGCAAGAGAACATTTTTCAATTTGCTCACCCAACCAATTTACTAAATCTTCTTCAAAAGGTTTTTTTTTTTTTTTGATTTTTCCAAATCTTACATTCACTCACAAAAGATGAAGGTTTGCTACTCTAAGGATACTACAGATTAAAGTTTGCAGATGCTAAAGACAGTTCTGTGGGGGAATCCCAGACGTTTGGGGCCACAACAGTACCATCTGCATGAGTACCATCTTGGTTTAAAAAGTAAGCCTCACACTTCCTGTGCCCTATACTCACAGATAACTGGATATCAAATGTATGCCTACAACTATAAATAATATCTTAATAAATATGCTCTCTATGTTGAGTATTAAACCATCTTCTAAACCAGAAATATGTGATAAAAAATAAAACACTCAAGAGTGTTCAAATAGTGACCTATTACAATGCTCAAAGCTTTAACCGTGGGTCAAAGTGGACACTGTAACTCTATTCAACAATTATGATTACAAAAAAGGCCCTCCTACTATTAAGTGGTCCAATTTTTGAGCAAATGTAATTTGTAAATCAATATACAACTTTGTTTCTTAACTCTAAACATTTAAGGTGATCATAAAATTAAAGTCAACAGTCCTCTTATGAAAAGTAGAAAAATTTCACTTGATTTTTCTGAATTTGTCATTTTCATGATCCATTAGGTCTTCAAAAATTTAATATATTACCTGCAGTCAATCACTCGGCCTTGATGGTAGAAGGAAGTTGGGATGATCTCACCCTGAAGTTGACCAATGCGTGGAGCTCGAGTAAGATTGGTACAGAGTAAAAATCCACAGAATACATCACTGAGCATGTCAAATAAAAACAAAAGCAGAACAGGATAGGAGGAATCAAGCTCAAAATAATCAAAACTATTCAGCCCACATGTATTCAAAAATGGAATATATTTTCTTTCCTTCTAAATAAAAAGATGTGTTCAAATACTATTGGTGGGCTATGACCCACACCTTCCTTGCTAAGAGGATCACAGTTTTACTTGGGTAGCAACATGCCCAGCTTCTAGAGGCCAATCAGGACTGGTGTCTGAGCTAGTCATGGCACCTCCCACCTCTACACCCACTTTCCTAGCTGTCCCTCTGTCTTGCCCTAAGAGAGCTAAAAGTAGCCCCTGGGTGTGGTGACTTGAGGAGAAGCCAGATAGGAAGTTGCTGGGGAGAACGTTGCTTTCTGGATAAGAGGTTCAAGCCCTACAGGGAGAAGACGTTTTGTTCCCACCGCCACACTGCCTGTCTCTAAATGTGCATGCTTTGTATCTAGCTTGCCATCATGAGATCACAAGCAGGACAGAAAATCCAACATGCTAAGGGTTCGAGATCATCTGGGTCCTTAGAGACGTTGTTAAGTGACACCCCCCCACAATGAGAGCAGCCCCCTCCAGCTTATTTGTTAAGTAAACAATGAACTCTCCCCTAAAAAAGGGCGGAGAATTGAAATGCCACATCAAAGCAAAGGAAACCCATGTCCAATAAATACCCAAAAATGTACTAAATTCCATTTGCAAACAGGGAAGTGCAAATTAAAACCACAATAACATAGCAGTTTCTACCCACCAGAAAGGGTAAAAGTAAACCATCTGATAATACCAAGTATTGGTCAGTATGTGATTCAACAAAAGTCTCATATGCATATTACTGATGGTTGGGTTTACTAGCATAGTCATTTTAGAAAGCTGTGACATCATCTGGTGGCACTGAAAAGACATATACCCTCCGACCTAGCAATTTTTCTTTTAGGGATAGGCCTTAGAAAAACATGTACAAATGTGCACTAAGTTACAGTAGAACACCCACAGCAGTATGGTTCCTAACAGCCAAAACACGGAAACAACCTAAATTCACACAGAGTGGAGAAATACATCATGGTATGTGAATATGAATATGAATGAAAAATAAAACAAATGAACAATAAATATGAACAGGGACACATACCATCGAGGATGCTTAAAATGCTGACCTTAAGAGATAAAATAATATATGAAGTATGATTCCTTTTATACCAAAACCTTAGGCAAATTATATGGTTTAGGGATGAAAACGTAGGCAGCCAAACTCTAAAAGCCAGGAAAGTAATTGCCATAACTGGATGATAGTACCCCCAGGAGAGAGACAAGGGCACCTGGCGGGGAAAGATACATTTTCTGCGATGCTGCAAGTTCTACTCCTTGATCCAGGTAGGAATGACATGGAGGTTCGTGTAATAATCATTTGGCAAACTATATATTTGTGTATTATTCACCTTTCTGCTTACATGTTATATATCCCAATTTTTAAACATTTTAGAAAACATGCATTAATTTTCTTTGACTCCTTGGTGGATGCATGGTTTATAGATATTCAAAAGCTATCTCTTACAATGATCCAATTGAATGCCTCCCAAACTTTTTGAAGTGACAGAGACATAGAGAAATGATCAGGTTTGTCCAGGACATTCAGCTAATGAATGAAGCTAATGAAATCCAGGTGTCCAACCACATACATTTTTACTACTTTAGGCCTCATTCCCTCCTACTGTCTGTCACCTTAGAAAGAGGAGAAATATTTTGGAATATCTGCGCCTCACTCGTGAGACATTCGATGAGAAGTTCTGGTCTATTATTTTGGTTTAATTTTAAAGAAATTTTGGTCAAAGATCTGTTGTCTCCTAAGACCTCATCCACCACCAGAGACTACGTGGAATAGCAATGTTTCACAAAGCACAACAGAGAGATCATTAACTAGAAAAATAAAACTCCTTGTTCTGCTTCAGAACTGGGAGAATCCTCATGGTTATGGAAAGATAAAGAAGGATATTTGGCCCATAGCTTAATGGTCCCATAGATCATGTCCTTGAGTTAACCTTAATAAACTATTAAATCACAATTTTCACTTTCCCCAACCAATCAAGGGAAAATATGACCAGTGTGCTCTAAAAATATCTCATTTCCTGAGTAAAGATGCCTCCAATATGCACTAACTAGATGGTTTTTAGAAGGTGATGGAGAACCTGATATAGACATTACATGCTTAACTAAATCAAATGGTGTTAAATGGTGTTGCACGCACAAAATGATCAAAAATGTATATTACTTCACTTTGAATTGTTCCCAAGATATATACAGTCCACATATGTTGCTTGTAAAACTCTGTGTATACTAGTATATTCGTAGGCCATACCTTCCAGCAAAAGTAGAAAGTTAAGACCCAATATTATGTCTTAATACTTAGCAAAGTGCCTTTCCAAACAAGCATCAAGTAAAAGACAACACGTGAGAAATGTTTTACATAAATGTTATGAGTCTGTGCCATGGCAACAGCTTGGTCCATAGCCATTTGCTTCTAAATTGACTAATGTGTTTTTAAAATTCATACTGTAACAACCAGTAACACTAATTTTGTGCCCAATTCCCATTTGAGCCAGGGCTTCTGAGTCCCTCACTGTGCCCCTGAAGCTGACCACTCACTGTTTGCTGCACTGGATCCATCGGTCTCCATCCTTCCCACAGTTTCCCTTCTCCGTGCCTTCTGTATTCAGCTTTTCGTAACAGAACTTGTCAGACCCTGAAGCCTCTTTTGGAGATGAGCAAGAGAAGAGAATTTGTTTTAGTTATCTTTGTTATGCACAACCAGTAGCATGCAGGTAAATGTTTAACAATGGGTTGTCCACAAAAAGAAAAAAACAAAAACAAAAACAAACCGTGACTCGTAGCATTTGCCAATTTCCATGCTGTAAATACTGTTGTATAAATTTCCATGGTCTAGACACATGGAAATTACATGGCTAATTTCCAGCTATCAGTATGATGGTGACAGGCTTCTGAAATTCCTGAAAATTTAACACTCGGCTCTTGCAAGCTACTAGGAGACAGGGCTAACACACCACTGTTTTTAACTTGAAAAACAAACTGATTCCCAAATTCTTGTTTGATGGGTTTGAGGGAGGGAGGTAGGAATGGCCATCAGCAGGAATTAGGGAAAGTGACATACAGAAAACTAATAAAAATTTTTAGGCCTGGTATACATTAATATTAAAAGATATTATAAAGTATTAGGCAATTAAGATTTTATGTCGACTCTTGGGTTTTGATATACAAACCCTCTAAAAGACAAATATGCCTCTAACATCCTTCCTCTGTCAAAACTGGAGCAATGAAAGTAAATCTTTCAGTTAAGTGATATTTGCCAAACACTGAAATCATTCCTGCGGGGGCTCTAATAGTTCCTTCGTGTACTTTCTTTCCTTTGGGAGTGACCCAGCCTCCACCACAAGACAGACCCTTTTCTCTCTGTTGTGGTTTGGCCCCCATGAGCTGAAGTTCACTGGAAAGGCACTGTAAATGTCAGGAAGAGAAGGCGTGCATTAACATTTAGGGAATGTGCTGATATACATGACCATGTACCCAAATCTCTATGTGTCTGCACCTCAAGAAGGACTTGCCTTTTTTCCCCTTCAAACTGAGAGAACAGAATTACAGAATTTAAAAAATAAGCCATTGTATTTTTCTGGGGTAAAAGAACAGAAAGCTCAAAGAGGGGTAAAAGTTAAATCCAAGGCACACAGTAAATCACAAAAGCAGCTGGACAATGAACGTGACTATCCCACTGAACCCAATCTTTGCAAGTGGGTGTGACGTCCCTTCTCTGACAGACAGATCACCGAGTGACACAGGTGGATTCTGATGACAAGTCCTCAGCTTGAACAGTTGTTTTCTGTGGTTCTGTGATCACATTCACCATCCTCTTTGTTCTCATCCTTTTCTAGAGTTTTGGGGTTTTTTTTTAAACATTATTCCAGGAGCATCTGGGTGGCTCTGTTGGTTAAACATCCTACTGTTGATTTTGGCTCAGGTCATGATCTCATGGTTACTGAGATCGAGCCTTGCATCCAGCTCTGCACTGATAGTGTGGAGCCTGCTTGGAATTCATTCTCTCTCTCTCTCTCTCTCTCTCTGCCTCTTATCTGCTCATGCTCTCTCTCTCTCTCTCTCTCAAAATAAATAAATAATCATTTAAAAATAAAATAAAACAAAACACCGCACTGTACATGTCTTTCAGCAGGACTGCCAGAGTGGGATGGTAGGCAGAGAAACCTATGTGCAGCCAACAAGCAGAAAATGTGACTTACTGGTCCCCCAGATGTGCTGGCACTGGTTGTCCCGGGTCTTGCACTCCCCGTTGTAGCAGCGACCCTGAGGACAGCGACACACATTAGGAGGCCCACGCAGAAACAAATCCATTTCCCCCAGATTTGAACTGCAAGATCGACTTTTGTTGTGTTAGATAAGTTGATTGTTTTTCACTCCATGCCCCAATATTTTCAGTGAAAATAAAAATCACAGACATCTTAAGGGAAGCACAATGGACAGTTAAATTCTAAAACCCAGAACAGACCTCTGCATTACAGCTCTTGAAGGCAAAATTTAATCATCTACAATTTTACACTTTATGGAAAACAAAAGTTGGTACACTTCCTTGGGTGATTCCAAAATGACTTTTACCTCCTTTTGGGTGTGAATGGTAATTACAACATGGCTTCAGGAAAGAAAAAGCCACATTATCACAGATAACAGCACATTATAACAGATTTTCCCACAACAGGCTGACATTATTGAAAGAGGGTCACAACTCAATAAATTAAATTCCTAATTCTTTAGTTGTTACGTTTTTTCCCTTGCCCTCAATCGGACAATTTGTCACCAGGGTTAAATATAATACTATATTTAGTATTTGATATGGTGTGAAGTAACGCTGAATTAGAAGACCATTGCAGTAGTTTATTGTTCTTTGAGTTGCAATTTCTCTTCAAAGTTATATTTATCAAAAAGAAAAAAAGAACCCACAAACGAATCCTTTTGAAATTACATTTAAAGCTAATAGCCCAGCATACCTGATTCTGATTGCATGCGTACCCGTCTTGCTTATGAAGGTTTGGTGGGCACTGAAAAATATAATGTGTTTCCTTAATGTTCAACATAAATACCTTCAGATTCTGTGTACGATATATAAAAATGCAATACAAAAATCAAGCATGGTGACTATATCACTGGGAACGTTTAGAAAAACATGAGTAATCTTAAGTAGGTTATCCAAACTAACTCTTCAAATAAATTAATCCATGCAATGGGTACTCACATGTGCTTGCACACAGAGTTAAAAGTAGAAGGAATTAAAATGGACAACCAAAGAAATGAATCATCTTGTTACGGAGGAGTGGACACATTGGAGAGCTAATTCACAAGACCTTTCTCAGACCTGTGAAATGTCACATCTGCATTCGACACCCCTGATGCTCACCCATGGGCCACATCACTGAGAAAGAAGGAACACTCTTTCAACCCAGTGTCAGTGATGCATCTCCATACATCTCCGACCTCTCAAACTACAGGCCTGGCACTAGAACAACCGTGGTGGGAAGGTTGCTTCTTTCTCCGGATCTATTTATCAAACCATTGTGTAAAAAGTACACTTCATTTTCCCAAAAAGGTATCCTGAATAAATTAAAATGTTTAGTCTCTGCATTTTATTTGCCACATTTGAGAGACCTGAAGACATGTCAAGCCAAAGGCTCTAGTACAGTGTTCAAAGCAAATATGAAGAGAAAAAAGCAATATACATACAGGTAAAGCAAGTGACTAAGAAACAGAACAGTGGGCCCTGGGTCCTCCCCATGTCTTCACCTGACAGTAAGTGACAATTCCGCTCTTCCAACTGGACAGGCTCCACACCATGAAGTCATTTTCTGTTTCTCTTTCTCTCACACCCTCCTTCGAGTCTGTCAACAAATCTCACTACCTCTCCTTTCAAAATCTAATCACCGTCTGACCACTTTTCTCCACCTCCACTTCTAACACTCAGTCCAACCCACCATCATCCCTCACCTGACTTGTGAATCAGCCTCTGCTGACTGCCCTGTTTCTACCCTAGTCCCCTTCTAGTCTACACAGCTACTGGAGTGTCCTTTTAAAGACATAAACCACGTCACGTTACTCTTCTGCTCAATGGCTTCCCCACGTGTTCAATGGACTTCAAAGTTCAACACAATATGCACTTTGCATCCCCCCAACTCCATCCTCTCTCCGACCTCATCTCTCCTCTGCCATGACTGATGTGACTCTGCAAATATGCCAGACATGCTTCCACCTCACGGCCTCTGCCCTTGCTCTTTCTTCAAACTTCCCTCCAGATTTCTACATGGTTTGCTCTCAAAAACTATGACCCCTCCCATGTTGGCATTCTCTGTTCCCCATTTTCTGGTTTCTCCTTCTCGTTAGGATTTATCACCTCATAATCATACATGTCACTTGTTTGTTTGTCTTTGGTCTCTCTCTCCCCCCCTCCATGTGAGCTCCAGGCAGTCAGGGATTTTATGTTTTGCTCCCTGCTACCTTTCAAGTACCTAGAACAAAACCAGGCTCAATCATCATTGAGTAGGTGCTCGATTAGTACTGGCTAACTGAATAAATAAATGAATGACTTATGCAGATACAATTAAGTTACTCTGTTCTCCACATATCAAGCTGTTTATCAAGTTCACTACAGAAAGGCAACAGAACTAATTTAGAATTTATAATTGCTAGGAAGCACTAGCTTACTAAGGAACACTTTGAGATAAAATGCTTTGGTTTTACATCTTTCTAAAGAAAAACTGACTTTCATATAAGCTTTCATTCACCACTGCTTTTCAATCAATCTGATGGTGACTATTCAAAGGACATAATTATCAGGACTAAAACCTGGCATACTGGGCCAGTGGCACAAAAACAGAGATCTGGCCACAAAAGTGGCCTCTTTCATCATCCAAATCCACTCAAAACATAATCATTATCTTATTAATCAACTAACATTAATTATTCACTTACTCTGAGCCAAACACAATCAGACTGAACAAAAATGCAAAAGAAATGTTGCTACTCAAATAGGTATATCAGGGTCTAAAATAACTCGATCACATTTGACTTTTGTGATGGTTCAATTAAAAAAAATTTTGTAGAATTCTTTACTAATTAAAAAAAAAAGCCCTTATTATAAACTGTCACGGCCTCATGCAAACTTTGTAATCAATTTATTTTCAGTTTAGGCTAATAAAAGCAAGCTACTTATTACTGACATGTTTAACATGGGAAATTATGGAATGTCTTACATTCTCTGGAGACACGTAAAACAAAAGAACCATTAATCTGTATACTTTGTTCCGCTGTGAGCAGAGCTCTGAATTCCATCTCTAAATGCCATTCCAGCCCCCAGTTTCATGCTGTTGCAGGAAGGTTCACACGAGGCAGACTTCAGCAGTGCAACAGCATTTAAATGTGCTTATTTTAAATTGTGTTATGCCACCCATTTAGATGCCATATTTTATAGTGCTAACAAGAAACATTTCCCACATCTTTCAAAAATACCTTTATTATATCACCCAGTATTATTTGCCAAGGATTTCTCTCAGTTGCACAAGTATTGTTTATTCTGTGATAAACCGTGAATTTAAAGTGCAGCTCAAAGGGATCAGTAAATGCTAATATCAAAATTAACCAAAGACATGAGATACAAGACAAAGTCATAATGTTGCCCATGATACTGATTCTCAGAGATCCCATTTTCCTAATCATAATTAGTATCAATTAAATTCAGAGTTCACTGCCTGCTACAAAGCAGAGTTCTGACAGATCTTCCTTTACCCCAATTATCTATTTCAGGCACATTCTGGTCATGTAAGGCTATTCTAATATGCCACTGAGAAACTAATTGAATAGTATAATTTTCACCTTACACACATGAGGCAAAAAGAACGTTTTAAAAATTTAGGCAATAGAATAATAAGTTGAACCTAGAGCCCTCATTATAAAAGCTTTACTTCCAGTAAATTCTATGGCAATTCAGGAATTAAACGCTGAAATGAGAAAAGCTGTACTTTGAAAAGAGCTGAACACACAGAACCAGAACCATATATGATGGGTATAAAAATAGTAGTATTCTACAAAACTAAAAATACAACTCAGTGGAGCAGTGTATCGGGATTGTCACAAAACATAAAACTTGGCACAAAACCCAGAACCCACAGTTCTTACACTCTTTCACTACATCATAGGAAAACTGCAAGGAAGCCTATTTCCATATCTAAGGAGAAGAAACGGGTAAGCATAAAGTCAGTAAGAAATAGCTTGAACATATTTCACTATATCACATCCTTAAAAGGGTCCCTCTGAATGTGGAGAAACGGGTACCCTCCTACACTGTTGGTGGGAATGCAAACTGGTACAGCCCCTCTGGAAAACAGTGTGGAGGTTCCTCAGGAAACTAACAATAGAACTTCCCTATGACCCAGCAATAGCACTGCTAGGAATTTACCCAAGGGATACAGAAATGCTGAGGCATAGGAGCACATGTACCCCAATGTTCATAGCAGCACTCTCCACAATAGCTAAAACATGGAAAGAGCCTAAGTG